GCTGCACAGGCACTCCCCGTTCACACACACCCCGTGGTTGGAGCACGTCGGGTCCAAGCAGTCCACTGCAGGGGGAAACAAAAAACGGGTGCAGAAGGGTCACTTCACACCAGGGAGAGGGTGGAAAATGTGCTCTGGAAAGTCTGGACAGGGTGATAAATAGAGCAAACTGAGGGAACTGTCCAAGTCATATTAATACCTGGTCTGAGAAGGGGAAAGTGAAGTAATTTACATTTTACATAAAATAAATCAAGCAGGGTTTGACTGTGCAATGACAGTTTACTGCAGGAACGCTGTGGTGGAGAAGCATGAAGACTTAAAAATAGCACTTTTATGTATATATAGTCAGAGTTCCACACATAAACCTGGAGACATTTCTTCTGAAACACATTGAAGCTCCAATGAGTCATGTACTGTATTTCAAGTACAAAATAAGTTAATAATTTGCAGTTTTAAAGGACTTTTTATTTGGAGTATCTTTATAAAAACTGCTATTATTACTATTAAAATGTTAGAGCACCGTTTGAACATTAGGACATCCGCTTCAAGTACACAGAAGTCAGAATGTCGGTGGCTTTCAGCTCCATTTAGACTCTTAATCATTCAGGCACTTCTGAATGTCTGATCCATGGTCCATTAGTACCTGAGCTGTGAAACTGAGAGCCCTGGTTACTTCAACATATATTCTAAATCAGGAGATTGTTTCTCTTAAAGAAGTAAAACCAGAAACAGATACAGATTTCAACTCAGAAACAACAAAGTGAAAATAATTATGATGGAAAATGATGCAATGGAATTTCAGTTGCTATTTCAGTCCTCTAAAGGAATGTTACAAGCTGTCTTTCAAATGAATTTTATCACTAACATTATGAGTTTCCAAATTTTTATCTTATATAATGAATCTGCACCAAATTTTCATCTTACATAATGAATCTCTATAACAATACTGTGCTTACTGCCAATACCCACATGGAGGCTTTAGCAAGTACCTTTTGCTGTGGAATTGAAGGTCAAGGTCAAATTCATGTCTTAAATAACTGGAATTCATCTCATGACTGGTATATATTAGCTCACAACAGCAGGACCAAGAATGATTTGCATTCTCTCTCGCTGCTTCAGAAGATCTGAGTTTATAATGAAAGTGATTAATCTCTCATCTTTTCCAAACTGCTCCTTCTAAATTAAGGCAGAGACATTTTGACTCCACCTGATGTGAACAATACTTGATCTTTCAAATCTCAACTTTTCTATAAACATAGAGCCTTGTCAAACTACTTTATTTAGTTGTAGAACATTTAAAGCAAGTATATAGATTAGATACAGGCAGAGGATTGAGACAGGTGCATTTAGAGATGCAATAAAATGAGTTATCAGAACACAATAGTATAGAATTCAGAATACAGTAGTACAGGAAGAAATGACTGTAAAATTTCTTCCAAGATTGTCATTTTAATGATGACATTGGCTATCTTTTTGGATTTGCTTTTCCTTTTTTCTTTCAGATTTAAAGCCGAGTTAATTTGACATGAAAATATAATGCAATTTCATATTTATAGGTAAACCAAGATTGGTTTGTGGTTCACCTCAAAGTTGATAAATTCATAAACTGTTTTAAATTACACAGAGTGCTTGCTCCTCTATTGTTACTCCTTCTTTGTGCTTAGCCAATTATAACCTGTCTGAAGTTTACAATGCATCTTTTGTACAACTGCTGCTGAACGCAATGGACACAGAGCTGTGATAAAACAGTCTGATTGAATAAAGAAGTAAAGTACACAAAAAGTTAGGTCAATCTACTCTAAAGATGAAGGTTACTTTCCTCCCACATTTGGTCTGTTCTGGGTTTTTTTAGGATATATATTTTAACAGAAAATGTAGCAGGGTAGTTCGTGTATAACATCGTTATAGGACAGCTAACTTTAGGAGATAATGATAACTCATAATGTACTCTCCTTGTCAGGAATGTATCATATTCCTTCTCAAATGAAAGCACTAATGAAAGGAATGTGGAGCATATGAAAAACACCACCTTCTGCTACATAAATTAACTGTCTTCCCTCTATCCTGAATTACAGTGCTCATGCAGCTTTGATTTATTTCTACAGAATGAGCCTATCAATGCCCTAAGCTCCCAATTTCCCTTGTTTTACAGGATAACACACTAAACACCTTTGTCCTTTGTTCCAGACAAATGTGCTTTACAGCTGTTTTGTTCTATCATCTGGGTAAGTAGCAGCTTTCAAAGTTTAAACTGAGGAGAGTTTTTACTCTGAGCTCCAATCTTGTTCTATTTTAATACATACTCAGAGTTATCATCTCAGGCCAGATCCTCGCTGCTGAAATTAGCATAATGTGATTACCTGCAAGAGAACTGCACTGACTTGTGTTGCAGAGGTTCTGGCCCTGAGGTGTAGCAGGGTTTACAATGGTATTTAATCAGGATTTATCCACAGACCCTCTTTGGTGTTTAAACAAAGGAGAATGCACCTTAGCAAGTATGTTAGGCTTGGAACTCACAGCCCCCTGGCAGCTCAGATCATTAGAGCTCATTTAGTATTGGGCCCTCTGTAGATTTGACAAAAAAAGTACTGAAAGCAATTTATATCCTTAAGGACAAAAAGGAGGTCAAGGAGTTTTTCAAACAATATGTACCATGAAGTCCCCAAAGAGCCATGAATTACACTTATGAAGTTAAATGTCATTGAAAAATGACTCGACCAGCAAAGTGACAAGAAAACCACCCTTAACTTAACCTTATTTGGCAATTTCACTTGTGTCCCCCCCAAAGTAGACTGAATGAAGCCTGACAAATACCCCACTTCATCTTCTGTGCAAATTTGTTAATAGAAAAACAGTGTTTATGCTGCAAAAATTGTGCATCAAAAATATTGATTTTGGTGTCACTTTCATTTCAGGTAAATTGTTTGAACAATATAACCATGATTAATATCAGAAATAAAAAGCTATTGGGAAGAAAAAAAAATTGCTGACCCACTTATTCTAATTCAATATCCTAGTTGGAAAATGGCAAATGAATCAACCTTTGCCATTCCTTTTGGAAGTTCAAATCAATAGAGGAGATTTCATATATTATATAGAAATACAGTCATATTATTTCTATCATTCTACCATTAAAAGTGTAAAACTTCTGTTAATGCAAAAACTTTAACTAAGACTAGATGATTAATTAGAGAGACATCACTTCGTAGTGTACCCTTTCTCCCATAGCACTTGAATTAATGTGAGAAATATGTACAAAAGAAATGGAATGCTAGAGTAGAAACATGGTGGTTGATTATTATTTATTTACAAATTAATTCATTGACTTATTTATTGCCCAATCATATATGCAAAAGGGTGCTTTAACCTTTATTGTCACGTTATTGGCCCCTTCCAAGTTTGCAATCAATACCTCCTGCCTTTGTAATTCATTTATCTTTTTAGGAAGAAACGTATCCTTCCAAGCAAAGCGTTGATTAAATAATGTATATCCTTTCATCTCACATAGCCATTCACCTCCCAAAAAGCTCTGTTGACTGACAGATTTGTTGTGCTCCCAATTTTGGCTGGAGTTAACCCAATACCTTTGCCCAAAGGCCTGCACTGGCTTTTTCTAGAAACTTCTCTGGAGCTGCTGATGTCTCTGCTTCACCATTCCAAACATTCACCTGAGGATAAGATGGAATTAGCACTACAGGAGCCTATTTCTCTTACAGGAGTTTGGGGATCCAAGGCAGATAGATCCATGGGGATCCATGGCCCACACAGACCACAGCCATTCTAGAGAACTGAAAGCAGAGAGAGAATTCCATGCAAGTACCTGGAAATTACAAAGTGAGGGAGGAACGGCTTGCAAGGTAAAATTTCCTGAATTAAATAAAACAAAGATCATTTTAGGCTATCTGCCATAATCTCTCTAATAGCACAAGCATTTATACAACAACAGAAAATACAATGAAAGTATAAAACTTAATGAGACAAGCAAACAATTGCAGTTAGTACCAGAAAGGGAGGTTCTGCAGTCCTGAGGAATAGATTGGGTGCTGCAGAGCATGTTAAAGACAGTCTTTTCCATCTTTGATTTTCATGAGAATGATAGTTAAAGCAAGGCATTTCAGATAATTTTTGAAAATCTCCTAGTATCACACACTCAGGGTGAACTGAGAACTATAAATTCTAAGGGCAAAAAAAAAGTATTACAGCATTTTCTGGATATAGTTTAAAACATAACCCATTAAAAACAACACAAAAGCTCGGCTTCAACTGAATTGTGGAGAAAAGCTCTAACAACCAGTGTTGAGAGGATTTAGTGGAAGAAGGTGACAGGAATGAACTGAGCAAACAATTGCAGTTCCACCAGTGAGGATCCTTGGTTTGTTTGGTTTTTTTTTTCCTTTAACTACAAGTTCACTCAGACTAATGCCAGATCTTGTCCTAAAGGTGATGACAATAAAACCCTTAGTAGTTTGTTTATCTATCGTTTTCTTCTCTTTCTCTTCTGATGGAAGAGACAGCTGTTCACTATAGGATAAAATGAAAATTGACACACACAGTATCAATACAGCTCTGCAATCCGTTGAGAATAGTCCAGAGAGACTCCTCAGCCCTAACAGCATGACACCCCAGCCCAATCACTTCAGCACCCAAGCTCCTTCTCTGTTTGGAGGATTAATAAACCCTGGAGCACAGTAACATATTTTAAAAAGAAAAGCAGCCCAATTTACATTGTGCATTCTAACAGAAAACAGCCATTATTGAGCTTAATCTATGACCACATTTTGCATGGGTTATTTTAAAAAAATTCTTCATTCTACATACTCAAGGAATTGGACACTTTGAATCTGAAAAGCTTTTCTGCATTTAAAGGACAGTTATTGTTCATGTGTGCCATCTACCTTTCCTTAATCCCACATGATTGCAGCCAACAGGAGCAATTTGCCCCTCATTAAGTCTGTAAGTAGCATGGATATCCAAGTCTTTCAAATATTTTTCATCAGTTTCTGTCTTAATAGTGATTGATATGTGCTTTGTGTGAAGTTGAAGCTATACAATTTTGTCTACCACTGCTCCTTTTTCCTCTGCATTTCACATCTAAATTGTTCGGTAAACACAATCCATAAGAAAAGATTTTTCTTTGCTCTTCAACAAAGGAATTATTCAGGTTTACTTGTGGCAGACACTCTCAATACTGCAATGCAACGTATAAAGAAGGCCTGAAGTTTGGTCTGAACTCTGATAGATCAGTAAAATTGTGGTGGACTACATTTTTACCCTCTTTTACCTGCTACAGCAGTTTTATACTTAGATTTTTATTGCATTCTTTCCTTTTTCCCTAGCCATTAAATAACTCCCAAACCCAGAAAACAAACTAACAACAGAGAAAATAAATACCCTACCTTCCTCACAGTTTTCTCCTTTATATCCCACAGAGCAGACGCAGTTGCCCTCGATGCAGGAGCCGTGACCTCCACAGGAGGGGTCAATGCACTGGCTGATGGGCACGTCACATTCTGGACCTTTCCAGCCACTGTAGCACAAGCAGGTGCCTTTGGAGTACTGACCATTGCCACTGCACAGAACGGGGCAGGCAGCTGGAAAACGGAAGGAAAGAAAAACAACACACAGGGTCATGCATGTAGTTGTGTGAAAATGCACTAAAAATCCACTATCACACACTTACACTCAAATATGTTCAGTTACTGGGGAAAAAAAAATTGAGATAATTCGTAGTGGTTCAGTTCTTCACTTCCCAAACAAATAATTTGATTGCTATTTAAAGCACATAATAATAATAATAATAATAATAAAGCACATATGTGTTGGGCATTCTGAGAATATAACTCCTATTCTTTGGAGAATATTGATAATATTTGGGATAACTAATAGGGTAATGTGAATATATTTGAGTTTGACATTATTCTTGCTTTGTTTCTCTAGGTAACATCCAATTTTCACAGATAGAACACAAAACATTCAGTCCCCACAACAGCTTATTATATGGCATCTTTCTTCTACCATAACACTTCTTTAATGTAATATCCCCAAACTTTTTTAGATCCTTTGCTTTTCAGTAAGAATCCCGAACACAAGAATGACACAAACTTTCAGTTACTACAAATGCACCTTGGCACCACTATCCCTGCTGAGCCCTGTTTCCCTCAATCCCAGTGACAGCTTTTACCCTGTGTGTACTGGCAAGAAAGCACCATTAACCCTCACCCCTCACTACTGTGTTATTAAGGGGGTAAGACATTCTGAGCAAACATTCATTTATGCAAATAAAGTGAAGCTATGAATAATAAAAGTAGTCAGTAGGTCTTGGGTGCCAGGAATCAGATGTTGTACATATGCAGAGCAATGGGAAGAAACAAGTGGTTAATTAAAACCCAGGTGCATATAAATGTTTCCCTAAGTCATATTCACTGCTGTGTGCCCATGTGTCCCTTGCGAACATGGCAATCTGTGAACCTCTGGGCCTGTCAAAGCCTGGCTGTGTGGTCACTGGCCAGAGAAATGGAAAAAGCCCCAGAGAAATAACAGAAAATGGGAGCAATGAAGCGAGTCTTTAAGAAAAGCTTGGAGCACTTTTGTGCTCTTCTCTCTGATGCAGTTTGATAAAGACAGAAAAGTATTTCCCTGTCTTTTCCCTCTTCAAAGTAATTAGAAATGAACACCCGGTGTTACAGTGCCAAAAATATACTCAAAAGCTACTATTAATCATTAAAAGGTCCTAATGCCTTCTTGGCTTCTATTATCCCTTTAACCCCAATGATCAAGAAGAACCCAAGTAATTGATTTCCTACAAAGAAATGTGCAATGGTCCAGTTATCCAACTTCTCCATTGTTCAGCCCTGCAATCCTTATTAATCTTAGCTGTCCCATTGATCTGCTGCAAAAACACATTTCAGGACAGATTTTTTGGTGAATTTTCTTATTTGATAGGTGAAAAAATTGATCAGAAAAAATCAAATTCAGATTTTCAACTTGGAAAATTAGCTAAAATTTAGACTGCTGAGAATTATTTCAAATAAAACTACAGATTAATGGGCTGCATGTCGTGTAATATGTATAATATTTTTTGGCCTATTTTTCTTCTACAATAGAACAATTTCAAAGTCAGTATGCTGAAGCTTGGGGTTTACTACTGCTCCTGTGTCTTAGATCCATATTATCCATCCTTTGGTAGCAAAAGAACTTCATTCTGCTTCATTCCTGGTGTTCTCTCTTACTATAAGTTTTGTCCAGATGCTTTCTTATGCAAAAATGAACAGAAATTTGAACAAAATAAAATTTCCTACAACTGTAGGTGTAGCAGAAGGGATTACAAGTGACCTCACCCCTGGTAATTCACAGCTGTACTAATTACCAGAGAAAAAGAACAGCCTTGCCCTTAATGGGTCACAGCTGTGACTAATAAAGATAAGTGTGAGAAGGGGTGGGCTGGCTGGTCAGGGAGAGCCTGGGGGTAGAGGAGCCCTGAGGAAGAAGGAAAGATCCAGAGAGACAGAAAGGAGAACAAAAGGAGGAAGAGAATTGCTGCTGCAGAAGATCTGTGTGGGTCCGATGGAGTTAGAGCTGCAGCTGGAGCCTGCAGTCACAGCTGAGCCTCTGTGGTCAGAGGCAGCAGGGAAACGCTTCAGTCACGTTCCAGCAGGAGCAGCCAGGGGCTGTCAGAGAAGCCACAGCAGGAGCTTGCTGTGGTCACAGTCACGATGGCTGAACTGTAAAGGAGAAAAAACCGGGACCCTTTTTATGCTTTAAATGAGAGTCTTAGCTCTTTTCTACCCTAGCGAGAGGTCTGCTGCAACAAGCACCATTTTCATTTCAGGTGTGATATATGTTCACAAGTGCTTTACTCAGTTCACTGAAAAAGTTGATGATAAATTTCTGCTGGTTTCTGACCTAAGTTTACTGAGCCAGCTGTATTGAAATACCACACAGACAAATTGTCCCCACACTGCACTCCAGGACAGTCTATCCTACATCTTTTTGCACCTCAGCATCAAACACCTTTCCATGATGGACCACACACTGAACTAACAGCAACTTGAATGCAGCATGACTATTCCTTCTGGCTGCATATTCCCCTGAGGAGCCTGGCTCAGCTCCCAGCACAGCCCTTCTGATCAGGTGTGCAGCTCCTGCAAGTCACCAGGTGAACCAGAAAGAAAGGGATCAACCTGGCACCAATTCCCCTTTTTGGCTATGAAGATCGGGGGGCACAATTTCTTCGCCCATAACTCTCAATTTCATTGCAATTTAAAGCCTTGTTTTGGGCTGACACTGATACATTTTCTCAAACCAGTATAAGGAAGGTAATAATTCCTGTCCTGCTCTCTTTGGACAGTGTAGAGGATTTTGGGCAGGTGATCAGAAGGCAGCCTGTCCTGAAGACCTGGAGTAATCATGAGTATCAAGTTCTTGGTGTCATCTTGCACACCCTGAAACAAGGTACAGACCCTGGTATTTTAATTGGAACTCACTTTAACACAAAAAAATCTCTCTAGGACAAGGCTCCTGTGTGTGGTGGTTAAGCCTGCAGTCCCTTTGGTGAAGTCCACCACAGAAGGAAGCAAAAATTGCTGGATGCAAATCCTCTCCACATTTCCATGCCATTGCAGAGACTCAGAGCTGTCATTGCTGATGGTTTCTCAGTGTGTATTCCCCAGCTGCACCAGGACACACTTGCTGAGCCCACCCAGCTCCTCACCACACTGTGATAAACCTGCATGGGAAGAACAGGTCCCAGGAAGGCTAAATGAATCTGGGGGCAGTTTCTTAGGAGAAACTACATTTGTTCAAGTAGTTAGAAGGAGAAAAACTTAAAGCTGACTCACAAGCTGGATACAAGTGAGGAACAGCTCTTGTTTTCCTGTTCTACAGACCAACATGTGAATCAATTCCTGAAAAGATTTCTACTCTGCAAACCTCTCCTCTAGCATGAAAACTCAAATAAAGACAGTAACTCTATTTAAAGAGCACACTACCTTGAAAGAGGGACTGAGCAGAAATAATCCATTTTAAAAATAAATAAAAGAGAAAACCAAAATGACAAAGACATCCAAGCCACTCAACTATGACCAGTCTTGACGTAGCTAGAGAGGTCTGGACTTGTAATTCTGTGCCACACACCTGCTGTAAGAAAGATCATTTTTCTGCTTGCTTTGTCCCCAAGGCTCATTAAGCAATAGGTAACTGCAGTCCAGCTAAAGGTGATGGGTATCTGATATTTGGAACTTGTCTGTGGGGAAACCATTCTCAGCTCCTGCTTTTGACCTGGATTTGCATGGTTCAGCTTCTGGGGTACCAGAGCCTGGCATTGCAGAGGAAAGGTTACTGGATGGTGCTGGCTCTTGGGCTGAAGAGATCCCACAGCAGGTTTTTAATGTTCTCTGACTCTGCTATGGTGCTTCAGGAATTTAAGAAAAGCTGAAAGCCATGTCACAGCTTTTCATTCCTCTCTTCATATATCTGTCAGGTCAAAGGTCTTGCTGAGGTTCATGGATCTATTCAGTCCTTGTGCAGCTTGTCTGTAAGCTGAACAGCAATCTGCCTTCAGGGGTCTGCCAGGGCAGTCACAGTGCCAGTGACACCAGAACTGAGTCTGGACAAACAAGAGAATCTGTCACTTAACCTTAGGGATGAGTGCATACAGTTAAGATTAAGGCACTTGCAACTTAAAGCCAGAGTTTTATCTACAACCCTCTGCTGGAGTTATTCTGCAAACCATAGAAATATCACCTTGAGAATGAGAAAAAGGACAGATTCTGGGACAGATTTTAGCATTTCCAAGACTGCCATGTCACTAAGATTGCAGGAGAAACATGTAAGCAAGAATTCAAGAAGGTCTAGGTTATTACAAGAAGCTGGCTTGTCACTGCTGTAATGAATAGCCCTTCATGACTGTTTTTGCTATGGGTTTGCAGTCTGTCCTGTGTGAGGAAAAGAGAGAATCAAGCTGCTTTTCTATAGAGAACAGGAGCAGGTTGCCTAAAAAGAGTACTGCTATGCCCATTTCCTAGATCATATTGCTGCAGGACGAGACCCAAACCAGTCCACCCTCATTTTACATCCTGGCAGCTTCAGGTGATGTGGAAACTCCTCAATAATATTCTGGATTTCTTGTTATATAGGACTGTTTGTGTGACTAATAAAGATAAGTGTGATAGGTCAGGGAGAGCCTGGGGGTAGAGGAGTTTGTTTGGAAGTGGGCAGCTCCTGGTCCAGGACAGAACTGATTGCTCAAAGTCTGATGAAGCAATGTGAAGGAAGGTGGTTTATGTAATGGAACAACCAAGCTCCATCTCATTTCTGTGGAGATAGATTGCATATCTTACACCAGCACTGGCAAAAGGTGGACAGAGATCTTCAGGAGTAGTTACGGCAACACTCAGACAACTTAGGCCCAAAGGTTTATGTCCTGAGTGAGGTCTGGATGAGCACAACAGCTATTAACCTTTAGTGTTCTTTGGTTATGGGATGATGCCCTTTACTTGTATTTGAACAAAATCAGACTCAATTTTTAACATGGGGCTCAGCTGATGAACAGATGCTGCAGACCCTTGAGTCCTGTGGGCTGCACATATTTGAG